CATCACTAGCTCAGGTGTAAATTAGGTCTTGGAAAAAGCCTCCTCAAACAGATGAGTTTTAGAGCAAACTTGAGTGCGTCAACAGATTTGGCATTTCTTACATGAAAGGGCAGGTTGTTCCAGAGCTTAGGAGCTACAAAAACAAATTCACGGTCTCCAAGAGTAGTCTTAGTTCTATTGGGATAGCTAAGGATCAACCTGTTATGTGAACCGGGAACACTGTATGTGGCTGGAATTTAGTGGCCAGTAATTCAGAGATTTAACCTGGTGCTAAGCCATGCAAAGCCTTAAATGTAATCAAAAGTATTTTAAATACAATTCTTTGTTGAACAGGCAACTAGTGTAATTTGATCAGCAAGGGAAAAATGTAGCAGTATTTAGCAGATTTACGCACAAGTCTAACACAAGCATTCTGCACACTCTGTAGCTCTGACACCGGTACCTGGGAATTGGGAAATTTGTCCATATAATAAACTATTACAGTACACCTTGCTCAAAATACAATGCTCAAACCAAGGTTTCAGTACAAGTACCAGTATTAACATGGTCCTTTTGTAGCGAGCTTTTGGTGCAAGATATTTTTAAGCACAAATGAGAGGCGAGGTACCAGCTTGTTAAATGAGGTCAAAGCAAGCAAGTGAAGTAGGCAGGAGTCAATGTACATGTGCACATGTTAACTGCTTTCCTCTGATAAAATGCACCTGAAATAATGACACATTTTTTGTGCCAAAATACCTACATGTACTGGTATAGTGTTAATGGATTTTAATACTTTTAATACTTTGATCTTCCAATTATTCCATTATTTTTACATTCAGGAATGCTATGATACAATCCATGTAAATTTGGATATAACGGGTATCATATACCATTAGAATCATGTGCAATTTAATAACCAAAGAGCAAACGTGCAGTCGTCATTACAGTACATATATCATACAATATGTGGGTTCATCCACTTTTAGGCCTTGACATATTGTGTACCAGTCTGTGAACATGTGTACAACTGCATATTAATTTAAAATACCAGTAAGAGCAAACGTGTTAAATGTATGGTCCAATTCTAAATTCAATTTAGTTGTTCTGATGATGAGTTATTGAACTCATTCATTCCTTCAGATTCTGCACATAATTCATTACAAAAACTTACATGTACCGTGATGCAGTGTTTGGAAAATGTACAACACTGGTACATTATTGCCTACATGTAGGCCTACATGTATGTATTGTGATACATGTAAAGGCAATGTCTAATTAACCTTTTTGAAGCATGGCAGACACAGCAGGAGGACGCTATTTGAAGTGGGTAAATTTGGAGTACTGTAAATACAAATTTTTACCTAAACCAAATAGCGCCCTCCCATTGTGTCCGCCATACCAGTACCTCAGATAGAGGTACATGTACATGTACGGTAGGCTAACTGAAACTTGAAGACTTAAGTTCAGCGTGAATACTTTCAATTTCACTTTAAAATGGCTAATCTTACATTTAATTGCCAATTACATGTACAGTACAATGATTACATAATGATAGCATGATGCCCTCACTACAGGTGATCACTTCTCCATTCATTTATCATAGCACTGAGCAGTAGCTCAGGTCTTAGGGAGTGCATTATGGATGCAAATTACAGTATCTTGCTAGAATTGATTCTGACACATTGGATGGGTGGCTAGTCCTCACACCTGACCAAATGGCCTGAGCTATGCTGGCATGTAATATTCAGGAGGTACTGCAGAGCTTGTTCATCATCTGTCCCTGGGCCCAGTCTGTCAGTGCATACCAGTACATGTACAGTCTACTGGGTATCTGTACTGTCACATATACTGGAATGCTTGAGGTCAAAATCAGAACTTGGCAATGTTAAATGTACTAGTACATGTGTGTAATTCCCAGAAATTAGGGGGCCAAAAGTGTGACATTTTTGTGTCCCCGTTACCAATACGTCTGACCTTTGTTATTTGACACAGCAATATCACCGGAATTGATTTCAAACTATTACTATTTGTTTGGCAGACACTTTGCCCTAATTCATCACTCTTGGAAATTAAAAAATCTGTTGTGAACTCCCCCCCGCAAATTTGCAGTGAATTCGCAGCGAATTGGATGCGAGAGGGGCAAACGATGTGTGAAAACAGTGCAAAAATCGTGTGAAAATGGTGCGAATTTTTGTGAACATGGCATGAAACATTTGCAAAAACATTGAGAAGAAAACAGTGTGCGCAAACAGTGTGAAAATTTTGGGAAAGCGGTGCGCAAGGTTCTGGAAACTTGCGAAAACAAGAAGCATGGTGCAGGGGAAATGTTCCACACTGGCCCCACACGCACGACTATTATGCAGTGCAAGTCCATTACGCAGGCTATGCTGCGCTTGGGGCTGGTCGGGGCCAACACGTAAACTCACTACGTGGAGTGTGCTGTTGTAGTCTAGTAGTGCATGGCACAGTTGTATTCTTGGATTACCATAAATAAACACTTGTCAATGTCAGAGAATAAATGTTAAAAAGTTGTCTGAATTTTGAGTAATTAAATGGGAGTCCCCAAATCATGAAGTCTCAGGGCACATGAAATGTGCGTATTACAACAAACTTAACTTGCTCTGCTGTGGCAACTTGGGTTATTTGCCCACTTTTATTCATTCTCGTGGTGTAGTTTGGCACACAAAATAATCAACATTGAGATACATGTACTACATGTAGTATTTTGTTACTGAAAGGTTTCTTTCTACTGACAGATAAAATCAAAATCAACTGCTTAAATTGTAAGTGTATCTTCATGTAGCAAATCTCATCTTTTTGCCGATTGTGTTCGGTGTGACATATCGGATCTGTTTTCAGATTCACTTGGGTTTCTGATGACATGTTACTTTCTGTGGTCACATGGTTATTGGAAAAAGTCAGCGAGAGAGACTTACCCAAGAATGACTAGTTCTCCGTATTTAACTGTTGAGCATCCCAGTGATGAATTTTTGGCATCTGTGTCAATTTCCTGGAAGTTTGCTGGGATCTCCACCCTCTGAACCAAGGACTTGGGGTTGGGCGACACCTCCAGGGTGTCTTCTGGTTCGGATTTCCTGATAGAATAACATAAAAAATGTGGACGATACATGTAATTAATGTATTGCAAACCAGAACACTGTGCATGGAGCCTGGCCTTCTATTAGCATTTTGTATGACTATCTACAGTTGAATCCTCAGGTCAACTAGAGGGTAATGGCTAGTAAATCTTATTTCATTTCAATACATGTACAGTCAATGTGTTATGGAAAATGAACAGTACATGTAGATATTTTAAATTACAAGTATGTTAACAGTTCAGCTTTTGGCTAAAAAGCTAGAGAATATAAACCTCAAAGTACATGTATGGGGAAATGGAACCATTTTGAAACTGGTTTATTTTTCTCTGTAGGACAATTACCAAATTAAGAGAACCATTTAAGCAGCACACACACAGGCCAGCACACATATACCAGGACAGGTACTTGTACTAGTACCAGCAGGCTTGTTTCTGTGATACAGAGACAAAATACATGTTCAAATATTGACGTTATGGGTACCAAATATCTTATTGGGTTTCATTTTATACCCGCAACAAGGTCCGGATTTTCCTAATAAAAGAAATTGCCCCTAAGTTAATGCTGAGGAGGCTTACAAGTGCCGGTACATAAAGTAGCATGTTCTTCATTAAATGGACCAAAATGCAATTCCACATGTCATTTTTCAAAACTTCTAAAAGGCTGACTTTGGTCACTTAGAACACAAATCAGCATCTTCAGATTAGAAAAATGATAATTTGGGGATAATTAGGCATACTGTGTACATTTGGTAGACATTTGATTTGCTACCAGTGTAAATTGAATGGAGTTAAAATCACTTAAAGTTTTACGTCAAAGTGTTTGCACCAGGTGACTCGATTTCAAAACTCTCAACAAGGAGAATTCAGTATATTTTTCAACTGATGTATTTTAAAGCCCCTAAGAAATAACTTTACAAAAATATGAGCAATGGAAAAAATAGCACAAAATTGACGGAAAGTGATGAGAAAGGTTTGGCTGTCTTCATTCTTTTACCGTTTATAATCACTCTCACTATACCAACATATCTGCCAGGTCTCATACCTTTCAACCACTGAAATTATCTTTAAGTTTGGCTGCAAAAAAAATGTACTGTATAACAAGTACAACATGTTTTTGATGGAATTTTGATGACGTTCAAGACTTTTGATGGAAAATGAATGATGTTTGACAATGCCGAAAATGCTGTCACATGTACAACGTAGTGCTCGAAAATTCGGAGCTCAATTTTCATTTTGTCCCTAATTTTGGAGATATCCCCACTCAAAATTAAATCAAAATTATGACCTCTGAGCATATTAGATTTTCATCATGACTCGTATTTTATGTCTCATACACCATATTTTTGCGAATGTCATTTGGTTTGACAGATTTTCTTTAGAGAAACCTTGGTATAAAGAGAAAAATCCCAGAATGTCACCATTCCATGGAATGGCTCATATCGAATCAAAAGACGCGTACTATCTGGGCAGATGTCAATGGTCAAACAGCCCATGGTGCAGCTAAACGTTTTTGCAATTCCACTGTGCGATATTGACGGATGTCGCAAAATTGTCATGATCGGTATTTTGGACCGTGGTTTTTGGAAACACACGCGAAGAAAATGTAATCATTCCAGTCATAAAAGGATGATACCCATAGTTTGGGCCCTTTGTTTGCATTTTTTTGACAGTTTGTATTGTACAACAATTTTTATTTTACTCGCTGTTTTTTTGCAGTTGATTTTTTGACAGAATCGAATGACATTCGCAACTGCCGACTTTGGGACCCAATTATTCGTGAGAGATACATTTTTATTTCATGATTATGGCGTTAATATGTGTAAATACTGTATTATCACCTTTCACCACATACATGTACATGTACAAGTCTGTGTAAACTAACCATGGGAATTATTACTTCCCAATAACTTCAGTTGGCTAGGATTTTAATAGGTTGTTCACATCCATCAAAATGCTGACGTTTGAGACTTTAATTAATCAACTCCAATTAAGTTGAGAGATGGGCACGGTCATTACATGTACATTATCAGCCATGATGTCCCCCATTTCATCAGACATTGGAAATTAATTCACTGCTGTTCACTTCAGGAAAAATGAACCCCAAAAGTTGAACACTTTCTAATGGTCCCTATTGTATGTCGAGGAACCTGCCACATGTACATGTACATACAGTATGTAGGCTTTCATTCATCCTGCATGCTTGTTTGCAATCTTTTCCCTTTCATTGGTTTGTGGTTAGAATGACATCCTCCTTATCCGGAACTTTTTAGACATTAAAATAAAGAGTTTTAGCTTTTGGGGAATTAGTATACATTTTAAAAAAAATCCCAAACACGGATTTCCCTTTGAATTGGCAGTTATGCTGAAATACACATCATGTCTTACTCAGCAGGCTGATACATGCCCTGAGGGCCTTTCTGGATTGGCTGATACCAAGTTAAAGGAAACACTACTAAAAAATGCCAACAAAGGACTAAAAATGGAAGTACAAGTACAGCATTTAATACTTGTATAAACGCTTTTCAAAGAAATGGCTAGGATTTCATCACAAAGCCAATGAAAGTGCAGATTTATCTGTCGATAACATCAGAACAGTTTATGACTGTCTATAACATGAGAACAGTCTGTTTATAAACATTCAATTTTTGTGCTACAGTAAGCACCGTCGATATACCGGTATCAATATTATTGATATAGGTACGATATCGATATCATCGATGTTAAGTATTTGGTAATATCGATACATTGAAAATACATGTATTGGATTTTGGAGGAACACTGAAAATATTGAAACTTCAAAAACATCAACATTGAAAAATATATCAAAAACATTGCTACTGAGGAACAAACTTCATTAAAAATACAAACTGCATCGTCACATTACCGTAATTTTCGATAAGCTACGGCTTATGTTGGTTCTAATGCTGAGTTAAAAATGTCCCTATAGCTTATACTCCAGGCGGCTTATACGGTGACATGATGACATCTGAAGAATAATTTCAGTCACCTATCTCAGTCTCGCACTCAATAATTCGCGTACACTTTGCCTCCTCCAAAACAGAGAATTATTAGCTAATCAAACGTATGGAGACCAGCACCCCATGCTGACGATACTGCTACCAGGTATGCACGGCAGCGTGTATCCCATCCCATGTACCGGTATGTAGGCAACGTACATGTACGCAATACGGATGCAATTCATGCCTGTTATACTAGAATACCAGTACCTTAAAAATTCAAATGAATGAAATTTGATATATAAATAATATTGATCCATTAAAAAAAAACAACGATATATACATGTACATGTATGTATCGGCCAAAATACGATATCAACGGTTCCTAGCCTCTAGTAAACTGTGGCAGATAGGGATGATGATGGAGAACATGAACATGAATACACAGTACCAGTACTTGTACAGTGTATTGGGGCAAATGGGGGGGGGTTCAGGCCACAGAATTTTTTTTATAAATAATGTCTACATGTACATGTAATTTTTGCAGACAAGTGGAAACAATGACGAAACCTTTACAGGTACATGACTTACTGGTTCACTGTACAGTGGTATGGAATGCACTTACTTGGACTTAAGATTTATTACATGTTACTCGCAAAAGAGACACGTCCATGGTGCTACCGCAAAACTACTTTCTATCATACCTCTTCACCATGCAAACCTTCAAGACTTACCTTTTATACTGGTCATAAGAAAAGAAAAGATATTAAAGGATTCAGAATGAACACTGTTGACAAATTTGGGTGGAGTGGAGCAATGCCATGGAATACAGTACACCGCATGAACTGGAAAAAAATCTACTGGTAAAATGATAATGGTTACAATCTGATACATGTACATGTCAATGCTTGGTGGGAGAGTTTCCTTAAATTTCATTCATTTGTGTAAATGTACATGTATGTTGCTGTGGCAGAGTAATTCATGGTTTCCACAATGTTCTTGGTCTAAGGCTGCTGAAGCTTGCATAGCAAGGGGTCCATTCAAATCCCCAAGCTAAAATACACAAGGATTCTGTTTACTAAATCAGCTCAATACCCACCACAGACTCCCCAGCGAGATTCAGTTTTGAACAGCTGGTAATGACCCACCATCCAATATCATTTCTTTGCAGAATTTCCCCCAAGGGCAAGCTCAAAACTTGACAAAAGGAAGTACTGAATTGTTTGATTGTTGAGTGAAATTCGGCAGAAAATTGGTTTTGTACATGTACACTACTGCTTACACTGTACCACATGTGGACATGTAAACTACTGCTTACACTGGACCACATGTGTACATGTACACTACTGCTTACACTGGACCACATATGTACATGTAC